GATTTTTTATTCGCCAATTAATGCATTCCATGAACGTACTGAGCACACACCGAGAAAAAAATCGAATCAAATTCTGCTTCAATTTTGTTGATGACTTTACATGGGTTGGCTAACTAGATAAACTTGCAAATGCTTGACTCTTGCACTATTTAGACCTCTTGCAATTTCAAATATATTTTTCAATTATACTTTTTTCATTATCTGTAAAACCTCAAAATTACTACCCTTTATGATTACGTCGCTTCCCCTCTCTCCCCAAATGTGCATACTCTAAAAAATTCTTGTTTTCTCTTCCTTCAGTTATACGCTGCAACCGCAAAATGGAGCAGTCTCACCGATGAGGATGGACATTACACGGCAAGTTCATTGAACTTAATGTTAGAAAGCTAAATGTTAAATCTAAAGTTAAGAAGCTATTAAAGTTAATTTTTTGGAGGAATTGGTGCCAGTGTGCTACGCTGCGCTAGTAGTCCAAATCCAGCATTACATAACCATGCAACGTATTTAACATCAACGAGCGTCGAAGGACTACTAAATCTTGAGCGAAGCTTCTCCTCATATTCATACTTTGCTTCCTCACACTCACTGCTATGTTCAAACTTTTTCTCGTTGAAATTGACCACAATACCTTCGCTAATATACTCGCAACGAGTCACAATATTTGGAGGAATGGTGTCCCACTGAACGTACTCGTAGCCATAATTTGGCACCGTCTCCACGGGGCAGCGTATGCAAGCTAAAGCCAAGAAAGTAGTAAACAACGAAGAGTGCAAGGGAAAGCAGCTTAACTCACCATCTCCCTGGGAAAAGTGTTCGGTTGGGCAGAAAACACAAACGCCATTTGAATCTTTCGCCATGCCAGGATTACATGGAGGACATTCTCGTGTTGCACTCGGTGAAGGCATCTGGGAATTAACAAACAGTTCAAGATGTAGAAAATAATGCAGTTGAAAAGTCGAAAACATCATGATGAGTAGATTTGGAGAGGAGGCGTGACATTGTAAGTGCTTTTCTTGATTTTAAAAACAAGTAAAAAAGAGTTTTTACAGGAACCCTACGCAG